GGAAGTGGGAGACAAGCCAGCCGGGAACCCGACCACAAGCACCCAGCTTGGGAGACAAATGAAAAGAAGTGGAAGACAAATCCACAAGCACCCAGCCTGGGAGACAAATGAAAAGAACTGGGAGACAAATGAAAAGAAGTGGACGTGCAAAACAAATGAAAAGAAGAAGCACCCAGCCTGGGAGACAAATGAAAAGAACTGGGAGACAAATGAAAAGAAGTGGGAGACAAATGAAAGGACGTGGGAGACAAATGAAAAGAAGCGGGAAACACATGAAAGGAAGCGGGAGACAAGCCAGCCGGGAACCCGACCACAAGCACCCAGCCTGGGAGACAAACGAAAAGAACTGGGAGACAAATGAAAGGAAGTGGGAGACAAGCTGGCCGGGAACCCGACCAGACCATCCAGCACCAAGGCGACCATTCTTTAAAGCATTGAGAACCCCTAACAGTAAACTGTTTGGGGAATAATAAGTATAATAGAAAATATAGTATAGATATAATATAATATGCATGCATTCCCTAGTGCATTCTATATATCCCAGACACGACTAATGGGACTGCCATATATGCCGATCAGTTGTTGTGGTTTCAATGGGGCGGCAGTCCGGCAGTCCCACAGGGAGTGTTGGTATACAACTCTTACCGACTCTTAAGGACGTCCAGAGCCCTCGGTCCGGTCAGCGGCCGGAGGTCGGTCGACGCCGCAGGTGGCGGCCTTGGAGGAGACCCTGCAGTCCTATGGAATGCTTCTCCGGAAAGCCCGGGAGGCGACGCGTGTTGGGCCAGAACCGCCGGCGCGTGAGGTCAGGGGGAACCTCCGGAACCGAGGGCTGAAGGAGCTTGTTTGGAGTGTACGATCTGAAGGAGCCATGCAAGGGCTGCAAGGAAGCAGCTGAGTGGCGCCCAACAAGGGCCAACCAGAAACACCTTTATACCTGATTTCAGAACAGAGGGATTCTCCAATAGGAAGCGCCAAATCGATCGAAACAGAGTTTTTTTCTGGATCAACTCCCCGGACCTTTAATGTCCAGTCCAAGACAAGTTGATTACATTCTACGACCGTCGGAGATACTGGAGTGATCCCCAATGAATTTTTTGCACGGTCAAGATCAGGTTTATTTCGACAAAGGCTGACTTAACTCCCACCCAAAACAGGACGTGCTTTGCTTACATTTGGCGGTGGCTTTAGAGCCGCGCGCGCTGGCCAAAAGATGGATACCGTGAGTGGCCCTATGTCTTCCATTTCCTCCCTCTCGACTCTCAACTTCTTTAATCTTCTTTATGTGTTTAAAATGTAACAACTTCTACCAGCAGTCACAAAGGGCTGCCGAACTTGGAGGATAGGGGTGCCCTTGTCACATCCACGGCCCCTGGATGGGACTAGAATCTAGAAACCACCCAACTCCAATGTGACTCCTGGTATATACAACTATCTAGGTGATGGTTTGGGATATTGGTATGTTCAACCCTCTGACTAATTGGATGATTTTCAACCCGCTGACTCATATTTTTCGGGTTGAAAACACCTAACCAAAACACTCCGCAGGTGCCTCTGGGCGCCCTGGGCCTCCGTGGGCGCCTGGACGAGCTTCGCCGCGGCCGTGTCCCGCGCGTCGGACGCGCGCGCGGAGGGTTCCGTGCGGCGGCAGACGTGGAAGGCAGTGTTCCGGAGGAGAAAGCCACGGACGGTGAAAGCCAAGGGTGGTGAGGTATTTGGGGAAAAGGATCAAGAAGCGTGCTTGATTGCCAGTCGAGCTTCAGGAGCTTGATATATGGGTGGGGTATATGTGGTGAGGTGCTTGCTTGAAGATGCTTGAAGTTTTTTTTTCTCTTTCTTTTTGAGGGGGGAACATTCATTCCGCAGGCATATGTTTTGGCATGTTATTTTTTTTGTGGGGAGAGGTGAGTGATTGCTTGTCCAGGGTAGTTTGGTTTTGGGCAGAGAGGACAGGTCTCGACTCCCAGACAAACGAGGTCTTATGTTGTAGACTATGGAGGTGGCTGTGGCTGCGCTAGTGGACGTCGCTCAAGAACATCCAAGAACATTCGTATGCAGGGGTTGTTTTGAAGGTGTTCCACA